ACCAGAACCAGGCGTGTTGGCCGGGTTCGGGGGGCGCGGTCTGACTGATAGAGCAGGAGGAACCTTTGGTTCACGCACTGTTTCTGTACAGATGGAGACACTGAGGCTCAGGGAGGCCCAGCACCCCCCAGAAAGGCAGTAGTGGAGACAGACCCCTGGCCACGTGTTTGGGCCACCCCTCCAGCGCTCCCCCCACTGTATGAGGCGCTGTCAGGAGGAATTTGCAGGGCGGTGGCTGTATCTGCAGCTAGAGACATATCTGGGCCAAACTCCAGCCCAAGTGAGGGGAAGAGGCAGCCTGGTCAAAGCCCATGGCGCACACCGAACCTCTCTGAAGGAAAGGGAGAACATTCATACCCTTCTGGAAACCTCCGCTTCCTCCCACTTTCCCGTCCAGCTGAGGGCTCTGCTTCCACAGCTCCCTCTCCAAGCCTCATGCCCCCAGCCGCACCAGCCCGGGCCTGGGCACGGTGGACATCAGCACGTATGCAAGGCTCTGGATTCCAGATCTTAACACTATGTATTTTCATGTGAATTAGAAAAAAAAAATAATTAATACATCAAACCCATAATTGTACAGACTATATTGCATTGGTCTGCCATTGGTCTAAAAAGAAAGTGGTTGGTTCGCCCTGATTTAAATAACAGTATGTAAATAATTGAGGTGGAACACAGGATGTGGCTGACAGGGTCTAGTAACTGAAGTTGGAGGGTCTGAGAGCATCAGGTCAGAAGAGCAGGTGGGGGAGGCCAGGGGCAGCAGAGGGACCCCAGGGCAGGGTTGGCCAGTCCCTGGCCTGTTCTGCAGGCCACCACTGCCCCAGCCCCTACCCAGGAGGACAGTCCCCCTGGGTCATGCCCTCCTCTCCTCGGCCCTGCAATCAGCAGGAATTAGCCCACCACAGAGAAATCATTGGCTTTCAGAGTCCGTTTAAATGGGGCTCTGTTTCGGGGAAGCCAGGAAGTCGTCGGACTGCTGCATCTCACCCCTGTGACCAGGGGCAGATGAGTGACTTTTCGGGGACTCCCTGGCTGGCCCAGCTCCCCAGACATTGGTGGGTGAGTCCCCGACTGGCCTTTTTCTGTCTTTCTCCTGAACAGTCTGAAATGGCCGGTTTTAGACGTAAAGGGAAAATGGCTTTGACTAGGCCAGGTGTCTGTCACCTGGGCTGCCAAAGCGATCAGGGCCAGGGTCGGCATGGCCTGATGGAAATCCCAGAGGTCAGGCTGTGCTTTCTGGAACCTCCGGCTCCTTCTCTGTAAGTTGCAGACTGTCATACTTTCCTTCCAGGGTTGATGGGAGGGGCCTCAGGGACAGGGGCAGCGCGCCCCGGAGAGGAGCGCTCAGTGCAGCTGGTGGTGAGCCCGATGACCCGCCCAGGGCCCCCCTCGGCCACCCACCCGCCCGCCGCCACTGTGTCTGTGCGAGGTGACCCCACTGCCGCCAGAGATCTCCCGCTCATCTGCCCTTTTATCGCCCTGCACACAATCAGGGGAAGCCGGGAAGGCCACGGGGGCTGGGCAGATGGAAAACAAAGAGAGAAAACAAAGGCACTGCTCCGAGGAGGCCAAAAGGCAGGCTGCCTCCTCCCTCTGCTGCCTGGCCAGCCTGGCCCACCAGTGCCTGGCCTTGGCCACCCCCGGGCTGCCGGCGACCTGCCCCACCCCCATGGAGACTAGCCTCAGACCTCACATGGTGCCACCACTCGCTGGGTGACCCCTTGACCAGTCACTTCTCCAAGCCACCCTTTTCTTATTGGTAAAATGAGAGAGGTGAACCGCATGCTGCAGGGCCTTCAGCAAACCCGCACCCCACCTCCGGGTGGGGGTCCCATTGAGGCTGTTCAACCCATCTCTAGGACAACCCCCAGCCTCAGAACGTCAAGGTGGTGCCCACTTCTGCCCCTAGAGAGGACCCCAGTGTGCCCTGTGCAGAGCAAGGCCAGCAGCAGGTCTTATACTATCAAGATCTCGGCGCGGGGTCTGTAAGCATTTGTGTGAACGAAGGAATGGTTTAATCAGAGGGGGCTTAACCCGCTTCGGCCCTTGGTGGCTGCTGCTGGTGGAGCCTTGAGAGATGGACACCCTCTGGGGCCTCCAGAGCAGCAGTGAGGAGGCGTGGTCGGGGGTTCCTAACAGCACCGAGACCAGGCTATCTGGGCCATATCCTAGCTGTGTGACCTTGGGCTGCTTTCTTAACCTTTCTGTGTCTGTATTCTCATCTGTTAAAATGGGTATAGTACCTACCTCTTAGGTTGTGGTTAGATTAAGTGAGTTAATTCACATAAGTACGTCAAACACTACCAGATAAAGGTCTATGATGTTAGGTGCCGCGCTTGTCATCAGTTTCAGCACTCTCACTGGTTAGGGGTGGACATACCGGGTCACCATGGAGCCTCAGCCTCCGAGCCCCTCCCCTGCACGGCGTGGCCAGGGTGGGCGTTTTCCTGGCCGCTGCGGAGGGTGCCAGGTGGGAGGGCAGGTTGCTGGGAGGTGTTTCTGGGTAAGCATTTCTGGTAGCGGTTGGAAGGGGCCAGGATTCCCAAGGCTCTGGGAATTTGCTGTCATTTACTTTCTCATTCTAAATATTTAGTTGTGATTTTATGTATATTTCTAAAGAGGGCCTCCGGAATAGTGTCAGCTTCAGGTCCTGCCCACCTGGACCTGCTTATTTCTGCTACCATTATTGTATGTTCAGGGCTGGCGCTGGTCTGCCCGCTTTCAGGCCCTGCAGGAGGAGGGCCTGGGCCTCGGAGCTGGAGGGACCCAGCCTCTCTCCCTGTAGACAGCCTGTCTCCGAGCACCCCAGACGCAGCCTGCAGCCCAGGCTGAGGAAGCCTGAGGGGGGCAGGCGAAGAGAATGGGACCTCCTGGGGGAGACCCCAGATGTGCAGGGGTCCCTGCCCCTGCGCTGTAGGCGGGGGGCCTTGTCCTCTCCCTCCTCCCTGCTACCCATCTTGTGTGTGCCCCGTGGGCAGGCGCAGGGGCCGTTGGGGCCATGGGGAGCAGGTTGCTGAGTTGGAACAGTTGCCCCTGAGGCTGCCACCAGGGTGGCTGGCTGTGTGCCGAGCCCCGGGTTTAGTGCCTGGTGGAGGCCCAGGATGGCCCCTGCCCTCAGAGCTCTTGCTGTAGCTGGAGGGGCGAGGAGTGGGCAGGGGGTGCGGTATTAGGCCCCTTTGCCTTGCATCTCAGAGAGAGGAGCCAAGAGAGCCCGGAGTCCGAAGGCTGGGCCCTTGGGGAGGGCCTCCGGGAGGGTGGGCCCTTGGCTGGGAGGCCCCGGGAGGAGTGGTGCCGTGGGCCCTGGCGCCTCCACTGGCAGCAGGGCCTCTTGTCCCCGGGCTCTGACAGGGACATTTATAACTCACAGCTGTGCCGTCCTGGGCCCAACTGACTGTGGTAAACCGATCTGGCTTCAGGAAGTCTCGTCCCGAGGCCACTCCCCACTCCGACCCCACACTCTCTTTCACCTCCTGATACCACATCCTGTTCTCCGCAGAGGGGCTCAGCCGGGGTCTCCAGCCGTGGGCAGAGCCGGAGGAGTCAGAGAAGTTCAGCGAGGCCTGAGACTCCCGAGTGGGGCCTCCGGGGTCACTAGGATCTACCCCTACAGGCCCACCCAGGGGGCCCAGGCACATAGGGAGCCAGAGACCACCCCAGGGGCTGAGGGCAGGACTACATTCTGTGCTTCCGAATCGAACCAGAGAGGGGATTAGACTTCCAGCCCCGCTGACCAACTCCGGCGGGGGGGAGTCAGAAGGAAAGCGGCGAGGGGAGCCAGAGGCCTCCGAGTACCTGGGAGAGATGCACCTCGGACCCTCGGCAGCCCTGCCCGGCCTGGCGTCCTGCACTGGGTCGTCCCCTCCTGGGTCCAAATTACTCACAAGGCCTGGTGCCCAATCGCCTAGGTTCTCACAGCAGAGCTCACGTTGGGTAAATGGTCTCGCCCAGCGGTGGGAAGAAAGGACAGTATTAAACACTGCATGCTCGCTGGCTCGGCCCCCTCCCCTCCCGTGGCCTTATTTGCTCACTAATTCTGGGGTCCTGTCAACCAAGCACCCCTCCCATGCCTCTCTCCTTCCGCACAGAAGAGGGTCGATAAACAGTAGTGAGTCTGCCTGAGCTTGGCCTTCGGAACTCGGTTAACCTGTGAAAAGTTTCTAGAATTAATGCCCCAAAGAGCGTATATTTTTGTTTCCTTAGTTAAATATTTATTAAGGTGTATTAGAAATATATACCTAGCCTATCAAACCAGCTATTTCACAGATATGATTGCTTTGGACAAGACCAGATTGGAGCTTAAAAAAAAAAAGTGAGTTGAAGTAAAGATAAATATTAAGTCATCGTTCAGATAGGACTCAGCGAGGACCTGAAGTTCGGGGAACGCAAAATGAATAATGGCCAGGGCTCTTCTCTGTTTTAAACTCTGGTTCTGAGCTTCCTGTCAGCTGTAAGCAAACCGTCTGGCCCTGCACGCGGGGGAGACGGACCGCGAGCCGGTTCTGCGGGGAGGTGCGCGCACATGAAATGGCTCCGAGTGTTGGTCAGAGGTCTGGTGAGCAATTCATAATGAGGAAGGAATTCAGGCAGGGGTCACAGAGCGGCTTTGGAAGTGGCTGCCGGCCGTGTGAGATAATTCCCCGGAGCCAGGCAGGCCCAGCGAGGGGAACACTGCAGGGCTCTTAGGCCGCTAAAAATACCCGCCACTTCTGTCCCCCCGCCCGGGCGCACAGGGGGGCCGCAGCTCTCTGCTTTTCTCACCAGGAAGAAAGAGACAGCACAAAGCCCCTGAGCCCCAGAAGAAGCAAAACAGATGCATTTAACATATTTTTAAGACGCCTACTAGGAGGCGTTGGCTTGTTGGCGTGTGCAGGCTAGGGAGCGACCTGAGTGGCCCAAGAGGCACCCAGAGTAGCCCAGTGGTGGGAGCAGAGGCGGGAGGCCGTGGACGGCTGTCTTTGTCCCTGGCTGCTCACACGTGTCCGTCTCTCTTGTGTCCCCAGGACGAGGAGGAGGCCACTGGCGTCAGACCAATGCTGCGAGGGGTGTGAAAAGAGCCGAGGTCCGTCAATCCGCTGCCAGACCTAGAAAGGTAACACCAGATCCCCGGTGCCCTGGTGCCCAGGCCACTGCCACCTTCTCCTGAGATCTGGCCAGGGGCGGGGGTGGCCAGTCTTTCCCCCCAGCCTTTCCTGACCCAGGCTGCAGGCTTCTTGCAGCTCCTTGTGTGTCCAGAACAAAGTGGGCTTCAGTTTGTCCATCTCTAAAACGGGTCCCCTAATTCTTGAGAACTCTGAATCAGGGGTCCTGGCTCTGGTGGGGGTAGCATTGAGGCCACGAGGTCAGCAGGCCACTCAGGGCTGAGAAGAGGGTT